CACAAGTGTTTGAACTACGGCTTTCCCCTGATAAGGAATCTTACTGTGTACATGCGCCATACGGCGACATCGCAATTAATACCTGTGTACTATGAATCAGATCTGCTCTCTCTCCCCCCTGAGACACGATCCTTGGATGACGCCATGCACCTCTTCGATCAGTTTATCCCTCTAACATACACAGGGCATTAAAAATTGACCATATTAACGCAAACAAAATAAAAACTCACTTCAGTGAAACAGAACTGAAATGCTCTCAAGATTAATTCGATATTCTGGCTATTTCTGAAACTTTCTTGACCTCACTAGATAATGATTCTATTATTCAGCTACAAGGATACAATTTCTTCCGAAATGACAGGGGGGGGCAAAAGGGGGAGAAGTCTACTCATACATCCAAGACGATATTCCAGTCAAAATATGAGGCCACTCAGATCCCATCTATGATAATACGCCCAAATATTTATTATTAGAAATATCTATTCTACAATAAGTACCTCTTTTTTTACTTGTGTACAGGCCTCCTAGTGGTGCATTCCCGAACGTATTTTTCTCTGTTTTTGCTACATTCCTACCTTTATATACAAACATAGTCATCTTTGGCGATTTTAATATTAATAATGATACCTACTACACTAGCTTTTTCAAATCATATATAGCCTCCCATTTACTATTTTAAGTACAATCTGGACCCACTCACTATTACTCTCGCTGTGATCATTTTATTCACACCTAGCTTAATCTGCCTATAATTTTGATGCTGTTCTCAATTATTCAAAATCTGATTTACCTTTTATAGCCAGCTACGACTTTATTGAGCTCATCTTGACCTTGTCTAAGCCACACCCGTATATTCAAGAATTTTTCTCGCGCAATTTTAATAAAATTAACCTCGATGTTATGACAACTGAACTTACACAAGCTTTCTTAAATTTTTATCTTCCATTTATGAAACCAGCGGACGTGACAGATGGTGCACAAATTAATCTTGAGTCTCTTATCTGTAATTTCTTCAATACTGTGTAGTTGGTCTTTGATTTTCTTTTTCCACTTCGACTAGTTAGCTTTAAATCCTTTGAAAAACCCTGTGTTACACTAAGAATTTGCATCGTTATGAAGCGTAAGGATGCTGCATATAAAAGGACTTTGAGGATTTTATCTAAACATGACTAATTTTATTCCAAAATTTGAGGAGAGAAGCTCGAAATTTTTTAGAATCTGCCAAAAATAAATATCTTACATCCAAACTGAATAACGCGGCTAACACCAAAGTAAAATAGTCTGTAATTCGAAAGTCAGGCCCAACTGACTCATGTCTGCCATCCCCCCTACAGCGCTTCTGACCAAATGAGCTTATCATGTTCTACTCTGATGCCACGTCTCTTGGAGCTCCGGTATCTCGAATATCTACAACGTGTTAAAAATACATGATGTGAAGCATGCCCTCCTCCGCTGCTCTGCTCTCTCAGGTGGTACGGATGGGATATGCACGAGAATGCTCAGGCTTACCGCTCCCTGTATTATTAAGCCATGGGAATCTCTCATGAATACATCTTTCTTAACTGGAACGTATTCATCATCTTCAAAAAACTTCTTAATTACCCCACTCGCTAAATGCAAAGATATAAAATCGCCATCAAATACTCGCCCCATCTCAAATCTTCCTGAGATCTCAAAAGTTTCTGAATGCCTTGCCCATTCTCAACTATATGCATATCTTAAAGAGAATGGGCTGTTGGATTCACGGCAGGTGCGTTTTAGAAGAAGCCATAGTACTCAGACCGCTTTGCTTCGAATTATAGAGAAAGTGAGGTTGGCGATCGACAGTCGTAAAGTGACAATTGTTGTCGTGTTAGACTACAGCAAGGCCTTTGACGGTATACCTTATGCTTGCTTGCTTAAAAAGTTACGTGACCTATACTGTAGTGACTCTGCACTTAACTGATTTTTTAGTTACATGCATGGCCATAGATAAGCAGTCAAAGATGGTGGGGTCTTGTCTAACTGGTGCCCCTCATTCACTGGCGTACCCCAAGGCAGTGTGTTAGCTTCACTGCTCTTTCTCACTTATGTGAACGACTGTCTACGGGTACTAGAACACTACGTCCATATGTCATACACCGGTAACACCTAGCTGCAGTACTCATGTTCTACTAGGCAGCTAAGCATGTGAGCAAGGACTCTCAGGCACTGGCTAATTGGAAAACTGCTTATGGTTGAACTCTACGTTAAGTTGGGAGCAACATGCTCGGCACATCTCTGCCAATGTCTTTCATTCACTTTACACAATCAAACACTGTAAGCATGCCTTATCTTTCTTATTGAGAAAGCAGCTCGTTAAGAGTCTTATTTTTCTATTGTTCGAGTACATGTCAGTAACCTACCATGGCATTACAGCAACCTCAAATCTCGAACTGTACAGAGCCCTAAATGAATGTGTCCACTTCGTCCATGAGAACATTGGTTGGCAATCTACAGTAACCCCATATCGCAGTCAGTTAAATTGGCTTTCTGTTACTCGCCATCGTGATTATTTTCTAGGCATGCAGTCATACTCAGTACTGGATCATAAATATCCGCCTTATATTATGTCCCTTTATCGATTAACATCTAATTATACAGATCTCAGACGATCCACTCACTTTCTTGCAGGTCATCTTATTTTACCTTACTCTAGAACTGAATCACCCATTCTGATAAGTAAGCTGCATCAAACTGTATTTGTCAACCAAAATCGATAACTTTAAAACTTTTATATTTGCATTTGTTTTAATAAAGACAAGAATGAGTGGGATACTGAAACTAGATTTTTGCCTAGATAATAAGTTTTTATAATTGCTATTGTTAAATTGAAATGTTTATTTTATTGCAATCAATACACTGCAAAGTCCTACCATTTGTTTACCTACGCTATTTAAATTTCAATCCTACTTTTTTTTTTTTTTTTAAATAAATACCTACTAACGTAGTGTATTTATTTTTAGGCTTTATTGTAAACGAATACATATAGCCTTGATGCAGTAAGGCACATTGTTACATTATATTTGTTCCACATCATAAGTAAATGATTTACATGTTACATTGTTGGTTACATTTTCATATTTATACAGTTATAGTTCCGTTGGTGCGTTGATGATGTCACATAGATCACCTCGAGAGCGAAGGATCTATGTGGTAGGTATTGATACAGTTGTACTTCGTTGGTACGTTGATGATGTCACATAGACCACCTTGAGAGCGAAGGATCTATGCGGTGGGCAATTTTTGCTGCGAGAAGGTCGCCCATCTTTTCACGAGAAGCATTGCGTGGTGAAAAAGCAATGTGAAAATACACAGAGGTACTTGCTCAGGAGAGTCACACTGACCGGGAAATGAACCCGCACTCTCCCACGTGCCGTCCCGCAAACCAGCCGACCGAGCCACCGAGCGCTCCTTTAATACTATTAATTCTCGGCTGGGTACCGAATTTTTACTAATCAATTTCTAATAAATTACTCCTACACATGTTATTTACTGTTAACTGATTTCTTTTTTCGTTTTCAACACAAATGCTTATCTCAAACGTATTGACATTTTGCATAGTTGTAATTGCTTATGCTATTGAGTACTAATTTTATGACAACGACTTGCTTGTATATTAAAAAATTCTTTGTATTAACCCCTCAAAACCATAAGTGGTCGTACCCCCTGGCTTGAATAAAGACTTATACTATACTTCAGTATACATACTTTCCTATACGTGAAAAATAGATAAATACATCTAAGTAGTGAAAGAAATTGTGTTAGAAAATCATTGAATCGCCATCAGAGAAGTTGCTAAAGACGTTGGCGTATCGGAACTATTAGATAAAGTTAGTTTTGATTCCAATTTGCTCAAAAAGGTCATAACTAATGTAAAATTGTGGGACTATGGTTATTACGAGTATATCAAAACTAAAGCCAAACCGTCCTAATAAAAGAGCCCTGAAAGGCTAACAACGAAAATAGCACGCAGTGTTAAATCAAATGTCAAGGTTTTTCTCACTGTTCTTTTTAATAATTAACGTGGCGTAATACATCAGAAATTTTTACTGCCAGCTTAAACAGTCAATTAGAAGTTTTACTTTAAAGCTATGCACTGTTGGCGGGAAGCAATACGTAAAAAACATCCAGATTAATGGAACTTGCAACTTTTTTACTTTTCCAAAACTGAAATAATCCATTAAAGGACATTGATTTTTAACGCTGAAGAAAATAAAATGTGGATTACTGAAAGAACGCAATGCTTAACCACAAAATAATTATCACAAGTGCTTAGAAGATAACAAAGAGCGGTGGTACAAGTGTATTACATCTGCGAGGGATTACTTTAAAGGGAATTATTTAAATACTGATGAATGAATAAAAATTTTTTAAAAACACATACACAGTCATCTTACTTTCTAAACACCTCTCGTATATCTTCACATATTTTATACTGAATTTCTGTAAAGCAGAAATGATAACCCTTTTTCCTAGGTTTTCTACGCCCAAACTTTAGATTTGAATGACCAGTATCCACAACTTATTATGATTACAAGTAATAATGTGGTTTAAATAATACTTTTTTCATACAGATGAAATTCTCTTAACCCCCTCCCCCCCATGTACCACAACAATACTGAAAACCGTCAAAGTTCATAATTCTTAAGAATTTCTACTTCCTTTTACTGGTTCCAGACTTGTTTTTTTCCTCAAATATTGAGCTAGAAAAATAAAGGAACATATTTTGGAATTACACTAAGTTTTATTGTCTCCTCATTCTATGAATTACTAATTTGATATGATTAAACACTTTTTAATTAAATTGGCTTAAGGAATCCTTGACATCTTAGTGATTACGTATGTACACTCAAAATAAAATAACTCTAGCAGTAAGATATAAAAGCAACATTTGAAATGCGATTTTTTATTTTTATTGTTGCAATAGAAAGTGAGCTTTGCCCTATACAAATATTAGATAAATACATACAGATACTAACTTGGTACTGATGTTGCTGTATTGTTTGATTTACTGACTAGGTAAGGACTCAATGATGATAGTGTTTGTCCAGATGAAACTCCGATTGGTACACATATTCCTGTCGTGTTCGATGCATTTTGATAAAGTGTAGACGAAGCCAACGCTCGACGGCGCAATTCAGATCCAGATTGTAATGAAGTTAAAATTTGAGGGGTGCTTGAATGGGATATTTCTGAAGGAGCCAAAGAATGCCTAGAACTCTAAAAAATAATTTTTATTGATATTTACAAAAACAGTTTGATTATCTATATGCCAAGAGGTAATGTAAGACTGAAAATAAAAGTGTTTTGAATTCGATACGATTGGCTAAGTGTTGGGTCAAAAAATATTGGAAAGGCCTGATTTCATTTTGACCTGGAGAAAATGAAGAAGTCACAAAGCCAGTGTATCAAAGGCTCGAAGGTACTAAAAAATAAATAAAGGTGCAGATTTTTCAATACTTCTGCTTTCATTAAGTAATTAGGTCTCCTATAGATCTTATCACACTGTGTCAGACTAAAGATACCAATGTGAATGGTTTTTACGAATATTTATATTTAATACATGAATGCGGTTTACTACTTGGTCTTATTGTACATGAGTCTGAAGAACTTTAATAAAAAAATAGCTATCATGTTTGTAACGAATAAAAGTGAAAATTGACTATGTAATTCAAAGTCATTGATTTATTTACCTAACACATTTATTATAAAATAGTTTGAAAACTTAAAACACAACACAAAAAATTTCAACTTACGTACATAATGATGTCGGTATCACTAAGTTCTTTTATGCCTCTAAAATATTATTTTTAAAAATTTATTATGTTGCAGGTCGACAAACTATTGAAAATAACGCACTTCTACGACAACTTCCTCGAGAAATCAGAATCGATCAGTTATCAATAAATAAAAGATTAGTTTATAAAAATACAAAGATAATATGGTATGTAATATATTTCATATAATATATAATATATTTCATATGGTATGTAAAAATTTATTATGTATATAAGTTTATTTTCACCACTTTACATGCAGATTGACAAACCAAAAACTTCAATTATGCTTCAATCTTTAAAGTTAAACTTTTCTAGGCACGCTTTATATATGTAGTTAATTCATTAAACAAGCAAGCCAACGCAGACAAAAAATATACACAGTTACGCCAGGTCTTACTCCATTTTTTTTGTGCAGATCTTCGNTTAAGACTCTCCATATTTCATATGGTATGTAAAAATTTATTATGTATATAAGTTTATTTTCACCACTTTACATGCAGATTGACAAACCAAAAACTTCAATTATGCTTCAATCTTTAAAGTTAAACTTTTCTAGGCACGCTTTATATATGTAGTTAATTCATTAAACAAGCAAGCCAACGCAGACAAAAAATATACACAGTTACGCCAGGTCTTACTCCATTTTTTTTGTGCAGATCTTCGTAATATTATATTTTTTTGACACATTCAGAACAATAAACTAATCGGAATGCACATGCCTAAGACCTATTTTAGAAAAGGCAGATTTTTAGAGTCTTAGTAAAATATAAAAATAAAATACTTTTGCAAGACGCCCTACGTAAACATTAACTTTCCTCTACCAAATTGTGCGCTAGTAATAAAAATTTTTGTAGGGTCTAGTCAACATGATTATAAAAAAAATGACTGCGAAATTATCTAGGACGGTACCACCAATCTCCTTGTCACCTCTGCCTGTAGTCGGTCGTCTGTACATAGGTAAAATCAAGAAATTCTGTAAGCAATTTTTAGTTGATGTCTCAGCGTAAGATTGAAATTAAACAACAAATTTAATACTCTCTATTGAGTGAATCCTTTAATTTTTGACCAAAAATTAGGTATCGCCGTAAAATATAATTTTTCAAAATTTTTTATCATAGCTCTGATAAAATTAAAAAAATGTTTTTCAAAAAGTCATACCAACTTGGAATTTCCTGCTCTTTTTAATAATAATGTATGTTTCCTTCCATTTGCAATGTTACCAACTAAAGAAAAAAAATGCATCCTTCAGAGTTATCCTATTTCGTTGGCTAAAATCTTAGGTAACCTTCGGAAAAAGTAGAAAATTTCACATCAGAAGTATAATAAAAAGTGGGGATTAACATTGGGAGTCAGATCAAAAAATTAAATTTCAAACGTTGAGTAAATGTGGTATTCAAAATTTTTGATCGAAACAAAATTATATCACATTATATCACCAAAATTATGTATAAAAGGGTAATAATTATAATTAACAATAATTTCTTGATTTAAATACCAATTTTATCACTTCAGTTAGATTTCTAGATAGGTTTTACAGTAAGATATTTATTATTTTCCCCAGGTACAAGCGCGTGATAACTTAAAGTACCTTTTATAGTCTATCGATGTAAAAATTGAAATTCAATAAAATTAGGAAACGTCAAGTACTTGTTTCGTAACATAAAAATCATTTTACAATTTTTAATCACATCTTTAGCCCAAATCTACAACAGCTTGATTTATTAACCAAGGTCCTAATGAATTGCACTTCACAATTTTTTCTTCTAATCTCTAGTTAGGCTCTTTTGTGCAAGCAGTAGCAAAAAAGTGCCACTCTGTAAGGGTACAGAAATCTTTATGTTGCAATGATAGATTTTCAAAAGCTTTCTTATTTGTCAACTGTTGTGGAGCGCCATCAGAAAAATTAAAAAGTCTTATTAATTCTTGCAAATTTAATTGTTAATTAATTGATTATTTTTGTTGAAACACATACTCAGAAACAGTCTTCTCGTTCATAAAAGAAAAAATCATCTTTTTTTTATTGCAGTGAATTTTTCTAATTTTTTTGTTTTCTTATTAAAAAAACAACGTTAACGTACTTGCACTCAAACTTGGTTCAGCTTAAAAGATTTCTCTAATATTTGGTTCATCTCACTTTTGGGCACAATACTTAACAACAGATTAATTTTTTTTTAGTAGTAACAGTAGAATAAAATAATAATTTTTATTAATTTTAAGTTTTAAGTACGACATTGTTACATTCCAAGTTAATACAGACTAATCATACTATGAGAAAAAACATTGCCGATGTGAGCTTGCATCACTCATCCAAAATCTCAATCACACCTGCCAAAAAAATTCGATGGATATTGTTGTAGTATCATTTCCTAAAACATTAAACATAATCGTGCAAGTCTACTGTTTTGCTGTCAACGCAGTTTGCAAGAGTATTACGCATAAGTTGACCTAATTTAACCAAAAAGGCTTCCTTTACATACCCTGATGCCATAAAAATGCACCAACGAGAGAAAAAATTTTTCTATTTACGTATGTTATCTGTACTCTAAAGTTATAGTCAACTCTTGACTTCCAAATCCCGTAAGTACATTATACACGTAAGGCACAACGTGTTAGCTAAGGCAACTCGGGTATATTTCTAGGACATCAATTGTCTCAGACTACGCTAAAGAGCACGGTACAGCGAAGGAGGCCCACTGAAAGTGATTCCAATGATGGTAGAGAAAGCAGAAACCGCAACATCTTTTTTCCAGCCACGAACTCTTTCGTATAGTTTAAGGGACCACTGAGAAATACTGCATGAAGCATTAGGGAACTCCGAAGCAGCCGTAACAAACATTAGTGATAGATGTAAGTCAGATATCAGTAACATAATTAATACTAAACATTGATAAAGTGACCCAAATAAACTGTGTTTAAAAAAATAAATTTGTTTTAATTGTCTTAATAAAAGAAAATAGTAATTAAATTTATTTATATCATTAAAACAAAGACATTTATCCAAATAAAAGGAAAAAATAAAGCTCACGAGCTGGATTCTACGAGACCAACGAACGAGACTACAATAAAATGGTTAAGATCATACTCTAAACAACTCCGGTCATAACAATATATCAATTTTTATCATAAGTTGTTATATACTTACCTGATAGTATTCAATTCGAAACAAAATTTTATATTTTAGATAATTTTATTAAGACTCTCCCCTTTTTTATTCTTCCTTGATTTAGTGTCTGCATCGAAATTAAAAAAAAAAAAATTGTTTACTTCTGTCTTGACTTCTTTATACTTTGTTTCAACGTCAGTTGTTTGATCGCATCTGCACGATTTTTCGCACTACGGAGCGCTATAAAGTGCGTATGATTTTTACTAAATTACGTTAAAGAATACCGGTCATTTTTTAATCTTTAAAAATCCTAGAGTCAAAAATATGTTGATCCTGGCTCAATTTTAGCTCGGAGGTGAGACTTGTTTGGTCTGCTAGACACACGCAAGCACTGATTGGCTGCAAGATTTGTGTGGCCTGCCACTGGTAACGCTGACATAAAAGAAGTAGCACCCGTCTGCACAGAACTCATGTTAAGTTTTTCAAACTGCATATGCTTTACCTTACAGCTGATACAGCTTAAAGCCTATCGTCATAGGAATAAAAAAATGTCATGCAGAATTTTTGTGGATAAAAAGATTTTTATGGTCATGACAGAATTTGCCGCAGTTCGTATATGGATGTAACTACGTTTGTAAAGTGCAAAAGTGGAAATATCAAATTGAAGTTGAAATATCATGACTAGCCCTCTTTAGGGCTATCATAAGTATTCATATTCCCTAATTATATATAAATCTCATCAGTTCTTTTCAAGGCCATCCAATGTTTAACTATCTTGCCAACAATTACATTTTTACTACCAATTCCATTAACGATTCGTCCACTAAAAGATTATGTAAAGCCGGCCACTATTAAATCAAGTCAGTCATTCACTGGTAGATGTGACGAGCGGAGTTGTCCGTCGCAAGGCTGAAAGCCCTGAACACCAACTACTCTGTATGACCCTCTTGACTCTAAGCATTCAACCAGGAATTACCGATCCTCTTTGAAGTCTGCGCTGGGCGAACCTAACAGTGAAGCTATAAAGGAAAAATAAATTCAAGAAAACGGGAAAGTCTCCAACAGGCAAGCGTTACGAACCAACCTCCTCACCTTGAATGACTTAAATGACTGAATCCTGCGAAAAAAGGTGCTTTAGACACCAACGTCTCCAGCGTAACACCAGGAAACGTTGGAAAAAAGCCCTACGACTTGCTCCAACGCTTTAGAGAGTTGTAGTTTTCATACCGATCAATCTAGTGCTATAAAAGCAGGCCAGAGAAGATCACCCTGAGGTATCCGGGCAGTCAGGTTAGCTGGATCAGTCAAGAAAGAGTTTAGCTCACCGGTCCTTTTTA